AAACTTGAAAACGTCTGCCGATTCGATGAAGTTATGTTATGATAAGAGATCTACTGAAGTCAGCTTTGTACCAGGAGACAATCAATATAATAATTGTTTAAAATAAATCTGATATAGGTTTCAACAGGTATCCTCCACCTGCTTAGAGATTGATTGAGGATGGTGTGTAATCACAGTTTATAAACACATTAAATAACTATCAAAAATATATACTAATAAAGCTTTGATTTAGATACTTTAACTCTTGTCGTATCTTTGATGTAAATGAGATTGGTTAAGATGCTAAATGTCACAAAAAGTTTTAGTCAATTTCTAAATATATAGGAGTAATTATTTTCTATAATTGCCTATCACTATTCGTTTTATTTTAAGATAAAAGAAAAGCAAGGAAATATTTTCTCTGTTTTTCGAATTGTTTATTAGAAAGTTCTATAAATTTTGATTTATCTTCTTTTTAGTCTAGTACGTGTATATTCATTCATTGTTTTTTAGTAGATGAATGTTAAAGGATGAAATCATATTGAGAGCCTGGCATGGCCAGGTGTGTAGGATGCTCGACTCTCAATCTGAGGGCCACGGGTTCGGATCCCCGTTACACCAAACATGCTCGCCCTTTCAGCCGTGGGGGCGTTATATAGTGACCGTCAATCCCACTATTCGTTGGTAAAAGACTAACCCAAGAGTTGGCGGTGGGTGGTGATAACTAGCTGCCTTCCCTCTAGTCTTACACTGCTGAATTAGGGACGGCTAGCACAGATAGTTCTCGTGTAGCTTTGCGTGAAATTCGAAAAACAAACATATTGAGATTTTTTTTTCCTTGCTTAAAATCTTGTTCGCTAGGTGGCACATTCGTTAACTTAGGCCTAATGAAGTTGTCGTAACACATAAGCTGAAAATTTGTGGGCGAATTCGTTCTGTTTGTTTACTTTTTGCAAATAAACCAAACACTGATGTTCAGGTAAGTAAAATATGAAGACACCTGTGTAATGAAGTGAATGAAACTTAGGCTCGTTCACGTGAAAGATATATATACTTATTTAGTTATTACAATTTAAAGTCTATAAAACTAAAAGTTCTTAAAGTTTAAAATTAATAATTATTATTAAAACTAACTTATAAGCAGAGCTGGCGCAAAGAACCTAATGTAAAATTTGAAAAAATACTAACATTGTAACCAGTGTAACTTGTAACTAACAGTAACAGGCAAAGAAAAAGGGGATATTTGTGGTGAAAGGTTGTGTGCCGAACTTCAATTAATATTACATCAAATACCGTGAAATTCAACTTCAGATAAGATCATATTCATGTTATTGCATACATCATTATACGTGCAAACCAAAGCAAAGTTTTCTAAATACGCTTAATGGTCTAAGAATTTCATTAACTTTTACCGTTCCAAGGTGTTACTGTTATTGTAGCAAATGGCAAAAGAGCATTTACAAGACTAAAGTTGATAACATTTTTGTATTCCACAATGGAACAAAAGAGAAAATTAAACAGACAGAGAAACTAAGAAAAATTTTTGCCATGTTAAAAATGCATTAAGTTCCATTTTGTTAAGAAAATTATTTTATATGTATTTTACTTCTATGTACTTTTACTCTGAATTTTAAGACATTATCTAAAATTTTATAAGGTACAGAAAAATAAATAAAGAGATTAAAAAGGGTGGAATTTTTTATTTTTCACCTTTCAATTTTTGAACTTGAGCTGGCACTGACTTTAACATTAATAATTTACAAGACTGATTAATGGTGATGCTCAATCCTGTTAGTCTGTAGTTAGGTCAACTTTATTCTGTTCTGATTGATACTTTGTTCAACTCCAAATCATGGAAAGTTTTTCATGAAAATTGTGATACTATTCATTAGTCTACGGTTAATATGTGAAGACTTGCACTTAATATTTAAAAATTGAACATGTCCTTATAATTTATTTACTAATTACCCCCCTGAATTTTAATATTTTACAATTTTGCTGTTTCTTATGCAAAATTGGCATACAAATGGTGTCCAGTTGTTCTTATGTCAGTCATCTACTATGATAATAGGGAAATAGGGTGAAACAGAAAATAGTACATGGTAGATCATGTGATGAACGTTTCTGGAGAAAGATTATCATTTCTCTCTTCCCACTCATCAGTGTTATAAAATACAAAACTTTTTTTTAAGGTGTAAACTTTTGTAGGCTTGTTTGGAGATTTCTATTATAGAATAACTATTTTTAAGTCTTCTCTTTATATGTCTTTTAAACAGTGTAATTTGAAATGCCAAGTCTTGCTTGGTTCATTTGATGTCACTGGCTTAAAAGTAAAATTATTTCTAGCCTGTTTTTTGTACTATATTTGTGAGATTTTTCTTTCACTATCTTTGTATTATAACATATAGACCATAATGCTTTGCAGTTATCATGTGGACATACACTTTACATTTAAAAATCCTTGAAATTCATCAATTGACAATATCTCATTTTGCAAGAATATACTGCACACTCTTTCTGGTAAGAGATTACATACCTAACTGTTACACTAGGTAGATTCTATACTTAACATGGTATTATTAATTATAAAAGTTCTGTTGTCATAAGATTTAGTTCCTTTATCACATGTATGATTGCACCTCTTAAACAGGCTATCTAAGCTACCTATTGACCTAACAGTTTTAAACACCTGACACAAGTTGTTTCTACCTTTTATGCTCCAAACAAATCTTTAAACCTTTCTTTATAGCTTAAATTTCTTATATCAGAAATCATTCTATAAAATTTAAGACTGGTTAATAGACCTTCAATGCTTCCTTTCTGTTATGTCAATATATTTTCTGCCAGGAAACCAAAACTGAACACAGCATTCCAAAACATTGTATGAGGGTATGGTAACTTTTTTACTTTTAAAATAAAAAGCTGAAGAGTAGCTTACAAAACTTTTATATTCTTCTTTGTCTTCACCACTTTTGTTTTTTGTTGTTTTTCCGACAGTAAAATCCTGAAATGGCCCACTATCACAAATTGATAAAATGGAATGAAAACATGGTTTAAAAGGCTATAGGGCAATCATTTTATCTGTAATAAACAGTTGGAAAATTCATGATGTATGCACCATAATCATGAAAATGTATGCTCAAAAGTTATGCTGTAATGCAGCAGCAGGAGTTCTACCTAGAATTCCAGTGTTTATGTTTTTGGGAATATAGTAGAGTAAGAGAAAAATTTTCTGTTAAAAGCAACAAGTCCCCTGGAAGTCAAAGAATTAGGTTTTGATATGCTAATCTCATTTCTACTATTCTAACCTTATGTACATTTGTAGCAGATTATCATTGTTATGAAAACATTTTGTTTATAAATAATGAAATATCAAAGCCTAGTTTCCATCCAAGGAAGCACTATCATCTGTCATAGGCAGGTCTGTTGGAATTCTTTCAAATTTTAATCATAAGTAACAACTAAAAGTACTGTGATAGAAAGTTGTAGGTATTAGTGCCTTGGGTGTTTTGTGAATTACAATATGTGTGAAATGAAATGTTGGTTGGGAACATATTAGTTATGTGATACATGTACAGTATACACTTGTTGGTATAATTTATGAAATTGTTCTGCATTTCTCTTTTCTATGGTGGTTTTTCACTATTTATATAACTCTGTAATTCCATTTCACTTATATCTTGGCAAGTTGTTTTTTGCAGACTTCTCCATTTGAACCCTTTTTTTGTGTTACTTATGTTTCAACTTTTCAATTTTAATGGTTAGGTACTTTATAATATTGGAAGAACACATTTTCATTGGATTATTTGGTAGACTTACAAGTTGTTTAAGACTTATTGTTTATGCGTACATTTTCTGTTTTATGTGACTGATCCACTCTTGTTGTATGATGGGACTGCTCTAAAGGTTCTTGAAGTTTTGCTTCTATTATGTCTACAACTGATCATGACCTCATTAGGTTTCTTTGTGTGGCTTTTATTGGTCTGTAATGCCATGTTTGTCTTTTCTTTTAGTTCCTTTTTTCTTCCTCAGTATGAATATTGTACATAGCTTAAGGTGCCTTGAAAGATAAGATGTAACATTTTAATGTTAAAATAGAATTATATTGTACATGTACATTGTAAAATACAGTTTATGTTCCTCCTTAGTCTTCTCATATGATGTTGTTAGAGTGAATGACTTGAATGTTACTGTAGGTTTTACACTAGGGTTGTTAATAGTTTAAAATTAAAATATTAACCAAGTGTTTTGAATTTTGTTTAATCTGTTAAGTGTTTAAAGTGTGTAAGTAAAATATTAAGGAACTGAGGGATACTCAAAGGTTCTTTCATTGCTTACTTCCTACTTTTATCAGGTGGCATTACTGGCAGATATTCAGATTTACATTTCATTTTAACCTTGCATTTTTAAAAAAAATGTTATGTTGCCACTCAGTTTTTAATAAAATCTCTATATTTCTGTGATTATTAATGTTACTTATAAAATTGTGCATTTAAAAAATAGATATTACTGCTAAATAGAATGTAAGACTGGCAGATACAAGAAATTATAGTTATAGATATAATATACGTATGCAAATTAATAAACAAATACCCCAAAATATTTAATGAAATGAAAGTTTAATTGCTTTAAATGGAACTACTTTTTTTTGACACATTGCTAGCATAATCTCCTGCTGCATTAATACAGTTTGATGTATAACCAACCAGGCTATAGCTATGTTGACTTTTGGAGTGCAAAATAATCAAAGTCCTATTTAGATCTATTTTGATATGATGGGAGACCAAAAGATAAAATGTAGGCTGTGCTCTGTAAAGCTTAATTTCAGAGGTAATATAGAAACAATCTTAAACCATGTCAGAATGAAGCATCCTGCTGGATCTAGTGGAGAAAAAGAGGGGACCCAGATAATTATACAAATGTATGCTAGTAATGCTAGCCTATAGTTGCTGTAAAAATGTGATTAGTGCTTGCTGTCTAATCAAAACAGACCATTATCATACCCGCAAATGCAATTATTTTTCATGTAACTTCACTATTATATATATATATTTATAATCTTCAGATATACATAGTATTTTATATACATATTTATATTTATCTTTGTATCTGTGCATGTGTGTCTATATATATGTACTGTTTGTTCAAGAAAGTAATATCAATTTTTCAATGCCTTTTTTTCTTATTTAAAGTTTAAACATAAAATGAAATCTGATATCCCTACTCTACACCAATGTTTAATCTTTTCGATACCAGGGACTGGCTTGTTGCCTTCTTAAGCTGTCTTGAATCATTTAAATACAAGTCTTAGTCTTAGTTCCTCCCGTTCCGTTGGGAACATTGGTCAATGAGACCTCGCCATCTGCCTCTGTCATGAGCGGTCTCCACCGCT